AACTCCACATTAGTTGTACATACAACCAATGTAGGACTATATATCTCAACAATAATGATAAAAGAAAAGATAGTGAAGGGGAGAGAAAATGGCCAAAGATATCTTTTTTATCCTATCCATTTTATTTTTTCTTCCTATTTTTCTGGTCATTCCATTTGAAATGAATATCTAGATTTACAATGCCTATTCTGCATGAAATTCCTAATTGAAAATTTATTTTAATGGTCGAAGTACTCTGTCATTTCAACCATACATTTCTTCGAATTCAGGAATTTAATGCAAAACTATCAGACTTTGGTTTGGCCAAAGCAGGGCCCACTGGCGATCATAGTCATGTTTCTACTCAAGTCCTGGGGTACTGAAGGCTATGCTGCTCCTGAATATATTGCTACAGGTTTGATTATTTGTGCTTAAATGGCATCGTCATGCTTTTTATTCCATAAAAATCTGTGGTTTTATTAGCTTCCTCACTTCTAATGCTGTTAGATTCTTTTGTTGGATTGTTAATGGATATCAAACTAGTGCCTTCATGGATATCACTAATGTTGTATTTTAACTTTGATGATTTATGAAAACTTCAAGGATCGATCTCTCTATGAGAATAATAAAATACTCCTAGGTGATAGAAAAATATGAGCTTTTAGTACATATGGAACTTTGGAGTTGTATTTTGGTTTTCCTTATGGACTTTCCCCAATAGCCTTGGATGTTAAGAATTGACTTCATTTGCTTGCTCACTATTATTCTTGGGTCTGAACTATATATCATAAATTAGTTCTCAGTCAAAGAAAATGCTATCTAACTTTTTGGTCTGCATTTTTTGCACATGTTTATATCACTTGATTTTGTTAGTATATCTTAATCTAATTGTTTGTTACCCTTTGCACTTGAGCAGGTAGGTTGACTGCAAAGTGTGATGTATATAGCTTGTTATTGGAACTATTATCAGGGCGGCGTGCTGTTGATAAAACAAAACCTGAAGTGGAACAATATATGGTAGATTGGGCAAGACCTTATTTGTGTGATAGGAAGAAGTTGTTTCGGATTATGGACACCAAGTTAGAAGGACAGTACCCCCACAGAGCAGCATATACAGCTGCAATTCTTGCATTACAATGTATTAGTAAGGCCAAAATTAGACCACAGATGTCTGAGGTTTTGGAAACTTTGGAACAGTTACCAGCCATGAGACATTCAATTTCAGCTAGCCCTTGTAGGGCAGTGAGGAAGTCCATCTCAAGCCCCATGAGAGACCAGATATCTGTGTCTAGTCCCAAAGGAAAATCCCCTATCAGACATAATCATCATCATTCAGTAGATAGGAAATCTGTTTCTAGTTACACTAGTGAGTGCTCTCTTATGTCCCCACTGGCATCCCCATTCATGCAATCCCCCAAAGGACAATTTAACAAAGGTGTATTTTCTCTTCAATTGTATACTTAAGTGGAGATTTAAGATTTGTGAATGGCTTAAGAAATTCGTCATCAATCTTATTCTATTTATTTAAGATTTAGACTCACTAATTATGAAAACAGGAAATTACAATTCCTGATAATGAAAACCAAACAAATCAAATCCTACTTAATTGTAAATCAAATCAAGAAACATACAAGTATTTCATCTTGTTTTTCTTGTCCTCTTAGGTGATAGCACCATGTGGGGAGTTTTGTGGACTAGAACCGTATATAACTATCATGAAAAATGTTGAAGTCATGCTGTTCTGTACCAGGACATAGATGAAGGTCAAACCAAACATTTAAACACTAATTAAAAAGGGACCCATGCGATTAAATTTATATACTAAAATTGGTGGGATTCTATCCCTTAATCTGAACAAAGAAACTATCTATAATGATCAATAATTCCAACAAATTACGATAGCCATTGGGATCAATTCTCTCATATCATGTCGGAGGCTTTTAAGTTTTGAAGGTCGATGAAATGGCTGACTCGAGAAGTAGAGAGGGTCCCTAAAAGCTCTTCCAAATGAGTTTTTAGTGGAGATTTTTGCAAAGGTAGCCTCTGGTTCCATGGTTGACGTCCCCAATGTCAAATTAAGTTATAAAAGATTTCTTGATGATTACGAGTATAAGCATGCATTTATCGACAAGCTGGGATTGTTGTCATTGGCATTATTTACCGATAACAAAAAACAAAAAACCTGCATTCGTGCAACATTGTGCAAAGAGGGGTAACTTAGAAATTTCATACTGTGAAGGGATGATACAATACTCCAGTTCATGGATGCCAAACTTCGGTCATGAAAATTTGAAAAAAGCAGCGATGGAAGTCACAATGAAGCCAAATATGTCTATTCAAGCCATATATCCTAAAACCAACTACTGCTCTAAAAATAGGTGTTTCTCTGACTGAAGGAGTAGTTGCTTGGGTCTCTTAAAATAGAAATAAAAATAGAGGTAATAGGCATCAATTCAGTTGAAATATTGGGTCATTGGTCGGACCGGTTGACCCAAATATATATATATATATATATATATATATATATATATATATAATATGAACATATAAATTTAATTATATTTTTCATATCTAAAATGACTTAAACAAGATTCACTAAATAAGCTCAAAAATTACCCAATCACACTTTTACAAGTTCATAAAGCACAAATAAATGAAAATGCACGCTATTATTATGTCAATTAAATTGCAACTCAAAATCTCTATAAGCATACCTCTCAATGACATTTAACTCATATTTTTCAAATTCATCTACATTGAAATAACATATGTCACATTTTCTTAATTTATTGTTCCACAAATTACTTCAGTATTGGAAGTCGAAATTTGATATTATTGTAGAAGAATATATTATTAGCAAATAAAATTGTAATTTTTTTTAAAAATGAGTTGTATATTTTTTTCCTGACGTGATGAAACAATTTTGGTTTTTAGATTATTTTTTTTTATAAAAATGCATGACCCACAGGGTCACCGGTTTTGGCCGATTTTGTCCAGATTTGGCCGGGTTTTAATCGGGTTTGATCGGGTCCAATGCTTTACCCGAACTGGTTCGATGACTGATTCGCCGATTTTCGAGTCGGATGAGGTTTAACAACACTGTTAATAGACATAAAAAATTAAGTTATTAATGAATTTATATTTCCAAGGCAAATTTCTAGAAAACACGATATGCATTTTTGTTGCACAATACCTATTAATAAATTAGTTGTTAACTTTTTCGAAAAGGCAAAGGAGCAGCTATTTCCCTTATAGGTCTTGGAGGTGCCATTTTTGTTAGGGTGTCTAGGACACACTTTTTCTTATAGCATGTCCAGTATACTTCAACATTAAAATGTGAAAATTACAGAAAATATAAATTATTTTTAAACGTGACATTATTAGAAAAGTTTCAATTACTAACAAAATTTATCGAAGAAAAATATTTCGTCGAAAATTTTGACAAAAATCATATTACGTAAAAAATAGAGACGAAAAAAATTTCGTCGAAACTAAAGACGGAACAAGATTTTGTCATAATCACTGACATAAATTTTTGAGGGACCTAATATTTCAGTCAAAATTCTTGATAGAATTAAAATTCCGTCGAAACTTTCAACAGAAACAATTCTGTCAAATTTTTCTACGAAAAAAAATTTTGTAAAAAATTTTGACGAAACACATTTTCATAAAAAAAATTAACAGAAAATAATTTCGTCAAATTTTTTTACGGAAAATATTTCCATCCAAATTTTCGATGAAAAATATTTCCAACAAAATTTTCAACAAAACACATTTACAGCGAAAATTTTGACGAAAAATATTTCAGAAATTTTTGTTGAAGGAAAATATTTCTATAAAAAATTTCGACAGAAATTTTTTTTGTCAAAGTTCTTTACGGAATCTAAATTCCCTCCAATCATTTCCCTCAATTTTTTGACGATATTTTTTTTTATAAAACATTCTGACGAAAAATATTTTTGTCAATTTTTTTTATCGAAATATTGTTCGTCATAAAATTTTTACGAAAAATTTTCATAGAAATGTGTTCCTTTGAAAAATTTTCATAGAAATGTGTTCCTTTGAAAATTTTGATGGAAATGTTTTTTTTATCAAAAAACTTGACGAAAATATTTTTCGTCGAAGATTTTTGCGAAATTTTTTGATGAGAATATTTTCCGTAAAAACGTGAACAATTTTTATAAGAATCATATCGTCCTGAGAGTTCCAAAACAATGAAGATTCAGGCAAGAAATAGTTGGTCAACTACCTATAACCGGGAGAAACAAATCACTACTTAAAAATCGATTTTGAATTTGTTAAAAAACCAGTTTTGAACTTGATAACTGGTTTATGGTTCATAACCGGTTTTGATTTAAAACCGGTTTTAAATTAAAACCGGTTTAAACCGGTTTTAATTCAAAACCGGTTATAAACCACAACCCGGTTTTAAACCGGTTTGGACAAATTAAAAACCAATTTTTTTTTTTAAAAAAAGTGGTTCGGTTTAAAATCCAAACCGTTTAAAACTGGTTTGGTTTGGTTTTTGACAATAACCGAACCGCTCCATGCACATCCCTACTGAGTTTTACTTACAGTAGCTCTTGAAACATGGCATTTTGGATAAAATTTCTTAAGCATGACATTTCAATAATTAAGATCGAAAAACGTGACAAATGTATCGTTGACCCGATACTTTAAGTGTTGATGTAAATTTTTGGGAATGGCTTGTTAAAACGATGGTGCCATATTATGAATATTTCTGCGTGTTTATTCTTCCTCTACTGGGGTAATTATATACATAAATGAGGACTCTAGGTCAATTACAAATTAGCTGTCAATCAGCTATGAATAAGGAAATGAAATAACCTGTTACTATTTCTATTTAATACAAAACTCCTATGATTATGTCAATCAACTGCAAATAAGAAAATTAATTTATTTAATACAAATCTCCTATGATTATGTAATTGTGTAATAAATGATTAAAATTCCAACAACTGTACAACTCAGCAAATATTATCTCATTTCAACACTCCCCCTCAAGTTGGTGCATAGATATCAATCATGCCCAACTTGTTAATTGCTTCTTCAAATACTTTTCCTGATACAGCCTTTGTCAAGATGTCAGCTAACTGATCTTCAGATTTAATGTAGGGAAATTGAATAATTTTTTGATCTAGCTTTTCCTTGATAAAGTGCCTATCCACTTCTACATGCTTGGTTCTATCATGTTGAATTGGATTATGGGCAATTTCAATAGCAGCTTTATTATCACAATGTAACTCCATAGGCTGATTGTAGCAGATTCCTAAGTCTTGTAGGATGCTCTTAATCCACAACAATTCACACACTCCATGTGCCATTCCTCTAAACTCTGCTTCTGCACTCGATCTAGCCACAACCTTCTGCTTCTTACTCTTCCAAGTAACTAGATTGCCTTCAACAAAAGTAAAATATCCCGAAGTTGACTATCTGGTAGTTTTATCTCCAGCCCAATATGAATCTGTGTAGCCTTTAATTCCGGGACTATTATTTTTTGAGTAAAGCATACCTTTCCCTGGACACCCTTTTAAATACCTCAATATTCGATACACAGCAGCCATGTGATCCTCACTTGGGTTGTGCATAAATCTGCTCACAACATTAACTGCATAAGCAATGTCTGGCCTAGTATGTGATAAATAAATTAGTCTCCCAACTAGCCTTTAATATCTGCCAATATCAGTCTGTACTTGATCAGGATATAAACCCAATACATGATTCATTTCAATTACTGTTTCTGCTGGTTTACATGCTGTCATTCCTGTTTCTGCAAGTAGATCTAAAATGTACTTTTTTTGTGACAAAAAAATTCCCTTATTTGATCTAGCAATTTCAATTCCAAGAAAGTACTTTAATGATCCTAGATCTTTCATTTCAAACTCATTTGCTAAATGTCTTTCCAATAACTACATTTCAAATAAATCATCACCAGTCAAAACCATATCATCAACACACACTATTAACACTGTTATCTTTCCTCCATTATGTTTTATGAATAGGGTGTGGTCTGCATTACTTTGTTTGTATCCAAGCTTCTTCATGACTAGAGAGAACCTGCCAAACCAAGCTCTAGGTGATTGCTTGAGGCCGTATAGTGCTTTTTTTCATCTACACACTTCATTGCCCTTCAAGTTGGCATGTTTGGTGCCTGGTGGAATTTCCATATATACTTCTTCTTCTAAGTCTCCATTTAAAAATGCATTCTTTACATCAAATTGCTTGAGTGGCCAGTCCCTGTTAGCTGTTATAGAAATCATAATACAAATTGTGTTCAGTTTTGCTACTGGTGCAAATGTATCTTGGTAATCAACCCCGTATTTTTGTGCATATCCCTTAGCAACTAATCTGGCTTTATATCTGTCAAGGCTTCCATCTGCTTTAAGCTTCACAGTAAACACCCATTTGCATCCAATTGGTTTCTTCCCGGTTGGTAAAGGAACCAGGTCCCACGTTGAGTTTTTTTGTAAGGCCTTCATTTCTACATTCATGGCTTCCTTCCAATTTGGATCATCCAAAGCATCCTGCACATTGTTAGGAACAAATATACTAGACAATTGATTAACAGATGCAATATATGATTCTGACAACCTATGATTGGACATATAGTTACCGATAGGGTATTTGACCTTAGAGTTTGGATCTAGTTCATAAAGCTATTTTTGTACACCTTTATTTGGTCTTTGTGACACTCTAACAGGTAAGATGGGACCATCTATGCTTGTAATAGAAGGTCCATTTGAAGAAATAGGAGTAGGATTAGTGTTTACCTCAGGTATGGATTCAGGAACATCCAGGGACGATGCCTCAGTTATAGGTGTTAGACGCGTAGCAAAATCATTCGTGGAAGGGGTAACATCCGGTCCAGGAGTGTGTTGAAGAGTTATAATTTCTTCTCTAGTAGTAGGTATCTCTCCCTGAGAAGAAGTAACAGAATCTCTCCCTGAATAATATGGTTCCAATTCTTGAAAAGACACGTCCATGGTGACATGCATTTTGTGGAGAACGGGATCATAACACCTGTAACCTTTTTGTACATTAGATTAAACCACAAACACACATTTTTAGCACAAGGATCCAATTTGTTTCGTAATAGCTTGGGGATATGGACATACACCATGCACCCAAAAACACGAGGCTCAAGGTTGGGAATGTGAGGAATGGAGAAATAAGATTCCAGAGTCTGTTGTGGAGTTTTAAAGTGAAGGGCGCTGGATGGAGTACGATTGATGAGGTAGGCAACAGACACAACAGCTTCACCCCAATATGTTTTAGGCAAATTCATACCAAAAAGGGAGGCACAAACCACTTCCAGTAATTGTCTATTTTTTCGTTCAGCTAGGTCGTTCTGTTGGGGTGTATAAGGGCAAGAGGTTTGGTGTCGGATCCCCTATGTGCTCAAGAATCAATAAAACAGCCATCTAAATATTCCCTGCCATTATCAGATTGTAGAATTTGAACTTTATACTGATATTGGGTTTGGACCATGCTGTAAAATTTTTTGAAGGCATCAAAGACATCACTTTTGTGTCTTAACAGTGACAACCAAGTCATCCGGGTACATTCATCAATAAAAGTCACATAATAGTAAGCTTTTGAGAAAGAAGGCACATTTGCAGGGCCCCAAACATCGGAATGAACAACTTGAAATGGAATAGAACTTTATTAGTAGTATGAAAATAAGGAACTCTGTGACTCTTGGCCAATTCACAAGTGCTGCATTTGAAATCAACATTATTCAAATGGGAAAACAACTGAGGAAATAACTTTTTCAGATAACTAAAGGAAAGGTGACCAAGTCTTCGATGCCAAAGCCAAATGGTAGCACAGGACTGTTCTGGACCGGTTGTTGCACATGTAGTAGCCAAAGAAGAATGGCTATGATCAGGGACCTCTAAGAAGTAAAGCTGGCCACGTCTAACACCATAACCAAGTGTAGTCCGAGTGGGGATGTCCTGAAAAACACAGTGAGAGGGAAAAAAGTTACTGAACAGTTAAGCTTTGAAGTTAATTGGCTCACAGAGAGTAAGTTGTATTCAAGAGAGGGTACAACCAACACAGAGTCTAGAAATAAGCTATCAGAAAGGGTTAAAGATCCTTGACCAGTAATTTTTGAGGTACCCCCATTGGCAGTGGAAATAACAGATTGTGAAGAATTACAGAGATTGAACAATTGGGAAGAATCTTTAATCATATGATCAGAAGCACCTGTATCAATTATCCAAATATTATTCCTAGACAATGTATAGAAAGCAAGAGACTTACCCAAAATACCGGATTGAGTAAAATTGGCAGCAGGGACAGGAGCATCTCTAGCGGAGACAATAGTCATGGCTTTGGCAGGTATATTCTTCCGGGAACGTTTATTGAAATAATACGGGGTTGACGATTCAGAGGAGGTTTTGAGATTGTTCATGGGAAAATAGAAATTCGAATTGGGTAACAGAAAAAATAAAAATAAAATCGAGTCAGGCAAATTGAACAATACGATGTGGAAGGTTTAATGAAAATAGGTTCATGGATCAGAAATGCTCTGATACCATGTTAAAACGATGGTGCCATATTATGAATATTTCTGCGTGTTTATTCTTCCTGTACTGGGGTAATTATATACATAGATGAGGACTCCAGGTCCATTACAAATTAGCTGTCAATAGCTATGAATAAGGAAATGAAATAACCTGTTACTATTTCTATTTAATACAAAACTCCTATGATTATGTCTAGGGATGGGCATGGGTCGACCCGAACCGGTTTTTTTAAAGAACTCAACCAGTTCGGTTCTTTGAACCGGATTATTTTTACAAAATGGAACCGGTTCAGTTCTGGTTTAAAACTGGTTAGAACCGGTTTCGAACCAGAACCGTTTCCGAACCGGTTCCGAACCGGTTTTAAGGAAGATTTTTTTCTTTTCCTTTTTATTCTTGGCAATGTTATTTTAAGGTTCTGAACCGGTTTTTTAGATTCCTATAGGCAGGAAAACACCAATATTACACCAAAGAAAACAACCCTTCTCTTATTGGCAGGAGCTGAGTTTTTGATCCACATGAACACCAAGGCCCTCTGCAGCTAAATGCATTATATCTTCATGATTCTCAAGGTTACAGTCGATGAGCAAAAAATCTGTTGTCTCATATTGTTCTAACAGCAGTTCTTGAGCTTCAACAACAATGAATTGAACTTGATGAGAAGCAATTCCCAATGCATTTTTTGAGGCATTTAGTTCTTCATGGCCACCAACAATGCAAATGACTTGGCCACCAGTTTGATGAGCAGCAGCAACCAAGGCTAGTAGTGTGGGGGAATCTGCTGCTGCAGCACAAGCCATAACCATCCTTTGTGCATTGTTTCCAGCAGCTAGTGCTGATATAAACTCAGCCACATCTGGCTGTTTAGCCTTTTAACCCTGAAGAAAAGAACCAAAATAATCAGATAACAAATATTGTTATGTGTATTACACATAATGCTCTTCCTTACTTGGCCATCTCTTGTTCAATTTCTTTATAAATATCCAAGAGTGCTTGGTAGTAAAATTTCATGCATTCTGGCAGAAATAAAATGCATATTCAACTACTTATGAAATGTATATTGTAACACCCCGTATATATCCGGTAATGTTATCATACTATCGTATTAAGCAGCGCTTAATTAAAAATGTGGAATATCTTTTTCTTTTCAATTATGATGTCATTATCATTACCAACTTACTTATCAATCAATTAATAAAACATCGCCTGTATATAATTGCAATAAAACAGCTATCTGAAATACCTCATAATCATAGATAATAAAAGTGTGGGTCTAGTCACTGAACTACAACAACGTAGACCGGACCCTCTAACAGTTTATACAACTCCAAATCAAAAGCACTAACATAAAGTGTCATGGACAATCCCCATGCTCACTCAAATAAGGCAACACGCCCAACATCAGTCTCAACAACAATATAATCATAAATAACGGAAAACATAAACAGCATCCATATCCAGTCATGGCAACAAACAACATAATATCATCAACTAAGCTCTGGCCTCCTGCCGCCAGAGGCATCAGTCACCAAACTACCGGAACCTGAAATAAGCATTCCCCAAACGTGTGGTGAGATCTCTAAACAAGAAATCTCAGTAAGACAAGGGGTCCTCAAGGATCTTCCACCCCAAACTCACTTACATGTGCAATATAAGTTCAAAAGCAGTTTATCATCATCAATTCTAAAATAGTGCAATGCAGCAGATAATCATGTCATGTGTGTCAATTCTATTCTACTGGCTAGAGAAATGCAGGATTTACATACGCTAAATACCCACACTAGTGCAAGACGCTACTTGCATTCACCCCGAATCACCATATCGTATGACGCCACATACTCAGGTTTACCGTCAAGATGAAACAACACATGCATATTAAAAGCCATTACACATAAAGCTCAACAGCATTTCAAATAATCAAAACATGTAACACAACATGCATACAACCATACCCCCATGGGACATGGTGGAACCACAACATGGCAAAACCGAGGACACGAAAGCTTACCTTGCAAGCTAACTCCCAAAGCCAAGAGTCCACAGCTCAAAGTCCAAACACAGCAGATTCACAATCTGTTATGGACCAATATTATATTAATAATAATGTAACACAAGCATATAACTTAAAGACAACGCCTTTCCTTACGTTTTACACCTTAAGGCTCCATACCAAGCCATAAGCCCTTAATCACAACGATTCTGACTTAGTTCATTAATTACAGAAGTTCAACTTCATCAAACTAGGGTCCACAAACCCCCAATAGCCTACTGTACACATATCACAGCTACTGTTCCACGAAATCCCAGAATATCTGGATATTCCTTGGGACCATATCCGGATATGCAATATCCGGATATCTCACTGGACATATCCGGATATTCAATATCCGGATATCCAGAATCCCATATCCAGATATCTAATATCCGGATGTCCAAATCCCATTTCCGGATATTGTTCGGGCACATATCCGGATATTTCACGACAGAATGCAGAAACTGCATTTCGTGAAGATATCCTTCCAAGGTTGGGTTTTTAACACTTAATTACGTTAAAGCATGCATCTTTATCCTGATTAAGGTCCACACCCCAGTTGGTTACTTGATTAACCCATTAAACATGCAAAGATCACACCTTTAACCCATTAAAACACAAGCTCAAGGTAGGTACAACTCACCAAGGCTCAAAACAGAGGCAAGGGTTGCTCTTGGAGCTCACAACCAGCTCCCAAACTCTGACTTGGAAGAGTGCACGAAAATGCACAACAAGGTGGTTCCATTCTTCACAAGGATGACCACTTGGAGCCTCACAAGCCAAGAACAAGACTCCAACCTCCCAAACAACCCAAAACAACAGCTCCACCCACCAAGGTCAGCACCCTCAACTCAGAAAAATGCCACCAACACACTCCCAGAGACCACTCTCACTCATCACAAGTGTTTAGGAGAAGAAACCAAGGAGAAAGGAAGCTCCTTGGCTCACCACAAAGGAGGAGAATGTGGCAAAGGGTGGCTGGAGGTGTTTCAGAAAATGGAGGCACGTAGGAAATCTGATCTAGGGTTTTGTGCCCAATGATTAGAGTATTTATAGCCACTTACCCAATTAACACACAGTATTAACTTTAATTGCTACACTTAGCATTTTAATCCCAAACTTTGGATTCTGAAACTACACATTTTTCCAAGAATTATTATATTTTTCTTATAATTTTTTGAGCACCTTTCCGGTACGCGCTTTTCCAAGCCAGTACCGGTTTCTAGCACCAGTTCTCATTATTTGGACTTTAAACTTGTTTTACAAGTCCTACATATTATTCTAGTAATTATCATGCAGTTACATTAATTTTCCGGGATACTTTTTCGGCACGCGTTTATACCGACTAGCAGAATCGGTATCTGCACTTTTCTTCCGAAAAGCGACTTTCAGCATTATTACTTACTTACTATAATTATTAAAGCCTCATGATAATTATTAGGGTCAATTATGGAATCATTTCCTATTTTTTTCATAATTTATTAATTAAATTCCTTAATTATCGGTACGGGTTCTTACATTCACCCCACCTTTTTAGGATTTTGACCTCAAAATCAGAAACATACCTGGTCGAAACTCGGGGTACTACCGGAGAAGCTCGTTGCTTGGTCAAACCGAGAGCTGCTCGGGAATATTTCTTTTCAGAGAGCAAGATTGTAGAGTAGTAATCAGGATTGCCAACAGGAGCAATCTACTCTGACTAAGAGCAACCCTCTTCAACTTATACACAAGCGTACGTATCAAGCAATATAGGGTATTGTAGCCCCAGATTTATCGTCCTCAGGGAGCAGTTGTGAAGTAAGAAACGCTAAAGGAAACTTAATTTGTAAAATGGAGCAATAAAAGAAATTACTATTCTCAGCTAAGCTTCACAAAGAGCAGTCTCTGAGCAGCTAGTTAAACAATGTTAACCATTCTGAATCAGATGAGAGCAGTGAATGACTTAGCACGGTCATCGAATAAAAAGGCATCAATGGAAGTAACTTTAAGAGCAGTTAACGAAATGGAAGTAAGAGCATCAGCTGGTAAGACACAGTTCAGTTATCGTGAAGAAAAGGTTGTGATAGAAGTTGAGTTAAGATTAAATTCAGAAAGAAAAAGATCAAGTAGGTGTTACGGGTTCAATGTTTTCATCCCTTTGGTTAACCCTGCCTGGTAGCATATTTTACAAGTGGATTTTGCTCCTTCCCTTGTTTTGCTATAGGTAAGCAGAGGGTAAGGCCTTACTCTCCACATTACTCCATAGTACTTGGAGTTATATGCAAGGAAACCATGCTGCCTAAGAGCATGGATTCACATGGCAGTGCTCCCCATTCCAGGTGTTTCTCCCTCCTTTCTTCAGGCTAAACTACCCCAGGATTTTGAGAATGCTCCACACGCCTTTGTCAGTGTTTCATCAACCGAGTGGTCCCGGGATGAGATTGCCAGCCCAAAGGATTTCACAAAATCAATAAATTAAACCAAAGAGCAACTCAAAATTCATTTATAAAATATGTGTTCCTTACAAAGCTATCCTAAGACAAAAGGGATTACTTCTATGGAACCCTCACCTACTTAAAGGAAGTTAGCTCCTAGTGAGCATTTTTACAAAGAAATAAGAAAACAAAGAGACAACGAGTCTTAGGATGGGTGCTGATGATGCCCTTTATGAGGATTGCTTGTTCCTTTTATAGGGTTCTTCATTTGATCTCCATTGTTCCTTTCATCAAGGGTTGTGCTTCGTCTAAATCCTCTCCAATGGTAGCTTTGCTTCTTGCCAGCTTGGCCTTAAAT